CTTCCCTTTCGGGTTCCACTCGAGGGCTTGGCGCGCGATGTCACCCAGCGGTCTCCTCAGCGAGTGTCCGATCCATCTCCACTTTCTCCTGCATATTTGTTGGGCGATTGGTTCTTGCTTTGTTTGTTCCCATAATTCCTTGTTGGTGATTCTTTCCGGCCATCTGATCTTCAGTATAGAGCAGCGAAGACAGTTGTTAATAAAGGTCTGCAGCCTTTTGGAAATATTCTTTGTGACCCGCCCGCCAAGTTTCTGATCCGTATAGAAGAGCAGACTGACTTGACGTTTGTATTGAAAATCCGACCGAATTTTGTTGTTGATCTGGCTGAGTGACGAAGATTTCCAGATTGGTTTTTCAGGTTGATGAATGTTTTTCTCGCCTGCCTTCCTGAATCTCGCTCGATTTGACATCCTCGTCCGTTCCGACTTCCTGTAGTTGAGACAATGCTCCCTAGATAAGTGAATGAAGTAACCTCTTTCAAATCCCTCCCGTTGATGGTGATTGGGGCTGGATGTTGCTTGTTGCTGTTGTTGGTTGTTGGTTATTTTCATAACCTCCGTCTTGTCTATGTTCACCTGGAGTCCTGTCTTCGCCGGCTGCTTCTTCGACCAGTTTGTCGGTTTTCGCTTGTAAGTCTTCGATTGTGTGTGACATCAAACATAAATCATCCACGCGCGAAATCCAGGTCTTCTAGGTTCTTCACGTCGGTCCAGGATATTCCTGTCTTCTCGTTTCCCACTCAAGTCTGACGCATAATCCAGTCCACCACAATTAGGAATATCATTGGTGATAGTAAGCACCCTTGTCTGACTCCTGTGTTTACTCCAAACGCCTCGCTGAGTCTTCCGTTGTGGATCACTTGGCAGGTGCCGTTGTCGTACAGCTGTTGAATAAGGTTGATGAATATTTGGGGTACGCCATAGTACTCGAGTAATTTCCAAATTACTTCACGATCAACGCTGTCGAAGGCCTTCTCAAAGTCTATAAAGTTGAGGTAGAGGTTTGATTGCCATTCCATGCTTTGTTCGATGATGATGCGTAGAGTTGCAATTTGGTCAGTACATGATTTGCCTTTCCTGAATCCAGCTTGTTCTGGTCGGAGTTCTGTCTCCAGTGCGTCCTTTAATCTCTCCAGGATGATGCGACTCAGGATTTTACTTGGCGTCGATAGGAGCATGATTCCTCGCCAGTTCTTGCAGAGTGAGGTGTAAGTCGCCCTTCTTTGGTAGTTTCACGAGGTAACCTTTCCTCCAGTCAGTAGGCACCTTTCCCTCCTTCCAGACCTTTTGCAATAATGGAGTCAGCATGTCTGCTGTAGTCTCTGGGTCCGCTTTCAGTGCTTCAGGGGGTATTCCATCTGGTCCGGCTGCTTTTCCAGCTTTCAGAAGTTTGATTGCATTCAAGACTTCAGCTTTCGTTGGAGGATTGGTGTCAACTTGCAGTTGTGTGCGCGCTGTTGTTGGTATTTCTGGACGGGTTGCAGGTGATGGTCGGTTCAAGAGTCCTTTGAAGTGATCCGCCCATTGTTTAATCTGTTTTTCTTCCTTGGTAATGGGCTTCCCTTGGCTGTCTTTTATAGGTTTCGCTTGTGTTGGTCTCTTCCCGGATAGAGATTTGGTTATCTGATATAGTGTCCTCAGGTCCCTTTTGCCTGCTGCCTTTTCAGCTTCAGTAGCTAGATTGTCGTAGAATCGTCTTTTGTCCTTCCTAGCACTCTTCTTCACTTCTTTGTCCAATGCTTTGTAAGTTGAGCTCAGCGTCTCCTTCTCCTGTCCGTCCTTGCATTGAATCATTTTCTCTTTCACCATTCTCCTCTCTTCTATTAATTTCCAAGTGTCCGTTGAGAGCCATTCCTTGTCTTGTCTCTTCTTTCTTCCTAGAACCGTTGAACACGTTTCGTTGAGAATCGCCTTCAGAGACTTCCAATGTTCTTCCACGCATGATTCTTCAGTGATGTCGCGTAGTGTTTCCTGCTTTGCTCTGACAGTTGCAGTGAAGTGTCTTTTGTGGTTGTGTCCTTCAGTAATTGAGTGTTGAACTTGCATTGTGGCCTATCCCAGCTATCCTCGAGGCTTTTAGTTTCACCTTGAAAGTCCCTTCTACTAGATAGTGGTCTGAACCCACATCTGCTCCTCTCCTTGACCTTGTGTCCAGTAGGCTCCGTCTCCACTTTCTTGAAATTGAGATGAAGTCTATTTGGTTTTTGGTGTTTCCATCTGGTGAAATCCATGTCGTCTTGTGTATATCCTTGTGTTTGAACACACTGCCACCAATCACCAAATCATTGAAGGCGCAGAAGTCTGAGAAGAGTTCACCATTGTCGTTCATTTCACCGAGGGCCTCACGACCCATGGTGAGTTCTCTTCCTGTGTTGTCTCGTCCCAGCTTCGCATTCATGTCGCCCATCAGGATTTTGATATCGCCATTTGGGACGTTGTCCATTATTGCTTGTAGTTGTCTGTAGAACGCCTCCTTCTTCTTGAAAAACGAATAACTGCTTTGAAATAAATGTTGTGCTAATCCTGACGCCTTGTTTCATTTTCAAAGCTGATATTCTTGTGATTAATAAACACACAAAATTTATTGCAAGTTGCTGATATCACCTAAGAACAACCTACGGCTTATCGTTTTATAATTGGAAGAAATATTTGCATAAAAATACATACTACTTAATAATTGTGATGAGTAGTGCAATACTATTCACTCATTTCTACAACTAGTAATACTCGCTGGCAAGTCAGATCGAGGTGATTTAACACTGAAAACCCGTTTCATATGTTTGGGGTCCAACTTATCAGTAGTGTACCCAGTTTGAATTAGATGAAACAACTGAACCAGTTCAAACGACTTGATTTCTGGTTAACTACCAGGGCAACATGTTGGATGATCCACAACGGAAAACTCAGAGAAGTCTTTGCATTGAAGATAGGAGAGTAAGACAAGGCTGTCTACCATCACCCGTGACATTCCTAGTTGTGGTGGACTGAATTATGCGTCAGAATGTGTGGGGCGAGAAGTCAGGAATATGTTTGACCGGTCAGAAGACTCCAAAAGATCTGGATTTCACCTGTGGATGATTTATGTCTAGTGTCAAACAAAATCGATGACGTACATACAAAAACCAACAAACTGGCAGAAGAACCAGTTAGAAAAGACAGGACTTCAGCTGAACATAAAGAAGATGGAAGTGATGAAGATAACCAACCAATCAACATTAGCAACAAGTGCCAATCACCATTAATGGGAGAGATTTAACAGGAGTCACTTCCTTCACCTATCTAGATAGCATCTTTTCATCTAAGTGCGGCACCAATGGGGATGTCAAAACCAGACAGTATCGGAAAGGTGACACAGGCCTTCATCACTCTGAAATCAGTTTGGAAATATGTTGCCCTCGGCATAAAGTAGAAAATTTGGGTTTCAACACTAGTGTTATGACACTTCTTCTATACGGTTTGGAGAATTGGTGCGTTACAAAAAGCATTTGCAACAGCCATCTGCAGACTTTTATCAACAGCTGTCATCTTCGATGTCTTCACACTGAAGATCAGATGGTCAGCCAACCAGAAAGAATCAGCAACAAGAAACTATGGGAATGACCCAACTAAGGATCTGTTGCTTAACAAATATGTAGAGATGGATCAGACACAGTGAGGAGACTGTTAGATGGCACTGCATTCAATGCAGGCAATAGCTGGAATTGCACCTGGAGGCGAAGCGAGTTGGGCGTGTGTCCGATGATGACATAGGGAAGGTGAGAGTCTATAGAGAAACATGGGGCCAGCTACTGAGGACCTGAGAGAACAGGATGAAGTGGAGATGTTCTGTTGAAGCTCGGGCGAGCCGGTGACACCATAAATCAAATCCACAATTTTAAAATTAGTTAACAACACGTGATCTGCTTGATACCATCAGCGAATGGTAGGTATTCCAGAGAACCAGCATTTATTGGTGATTTAGACTCATTAGGTCCTCTGAGCTCAGTTAAAACCAAAAACACCACTGATGAGATCGGTCCCAGACGAGCAAAACAGCCATATAGTGTTTAGATCATCTCAATCTAACTAGCCAAAAAACAAGACCAACTCGGTCATATGACTGGTATGCAACTACTCATTTCAATTACTCAGTAGTATATCGTTTTGTGCAGATATTTTCGCTTGCCATCTTGCTATCTATCAAAGCAAGGATCGGGAAAGCAAGACAAGTTTTCATTGCTCTCAAGTCTGTGTGGATATCAACATCACTCAGCAAGAAAATGAAAATGAGAACCAGACTTTCAACTCCAATGTGAAGTCAGTGCTACTATACGGATCAGAGACTTGGCATCGCTCCGCGTCACGAATGGCACTTCGAACAAACTACCCACCTTCATCAACAGCTGTCTTCGCTCAGTAACACTCATGATCAGATGGCAGGCCAGAAAAGATCAGCAGTAGTGAAGGATCTGTGGGGGAAAACGAACCCAGTAGGAACCGATTGTGCTAGAAATATGCAGGAAGAAATGGAGGTGGACTGGCCATACTCTGAGAAATCAAACCATCAAGTGACATCACTAGACAAGCCATTGCTCGAGTGAAACCCGAAAGATAAGCGGTGAGTTGGCCATCAGTGAGAGGGTGACATGGAGGAGGTCATGTGAAGAGGAGATGAAAGCATGTGGGCAGACCTGGAGCCAGATGAAAACTTAAGCAGAGAACCGAACGCAATGAAGACGTGAGCTGTTAAAGCCCTATGTTCCTCTAGGAAATAAAGGAAAGAATAATAATAAAAAATCTTGACTACCAATTATAGTATCAGGCAGATCACATCCTGTGATAACCACCTGAATAGTGTGGTGGCAATTGTACACCTCGTCAAACTGTTTACCCTACAGATTGTGAATTCAAAAGAAATATTGACAATTAAATAAGAAAAACAAAACAAAATGGTTGTAAATAAATAAATAAATTTTTGTGACCTTTTTAACTGAAAAAGAAAGGAAATAAGTCACTTGATGAAAACAGTTTGGTCGAAATAAATTAAGTGACAAATCCATAAATAAATTGCATATATACACATATGTATACTCAAATGACAGTGTTGGGCAGTCCATCACTTCTCACTGTATATCATCAAAATCCTGTCAGTTAAAACAAACAATATTAAAAACCGGCAGATACTATCAGTCCAAATACACAGTAAAACAAAATGCATAAATGAAATCTACTATTCTTCATCAGAATCTGAAATAAATTTGACTTGAGTAAACAGCATATTATTATCAATTTCATTTTCTACATGTTTTGATGCAGCTTTAACAAAACAAGTGAGAATTGAATCTCTTGAATCACTACCACTTGATTGCTGAGTTAGTGGACGTCTAGTTTCATCATCAGCCGCTGCTGTTGTATAATATTCCCCTCTGACTTTACCGTCTCCATCATGAGTATCTTCGATGAGACCATTAAATCTTCGACTTGTTCTTATCTGATTTTCACACTTACTGAAATCTATTAAACCAAATAATTGTGCTGCTTGACTCCCCTGTGGTGTTGGTGCTGGTGGTGTTGGTTGTGACATTGGTGAATGTTTATTACACTTAATTTTGCATAAAATATGTTTCGATAATTGATTTGAGCGTACTGCTTCAGGCGACATACCATCTGAGTGGAATGTTTTTGAAGACTGCTTCAATGGAGTAATTTTACAATACATATCAGTATTTTTGTCGTCTTTTCGTGAAGATTTTATAAAAGCATCCAGTTTGGGACTTTGTTTTATTATACCAGTTGAAGTAGTAGGTCTAAGAATATAGCTATCTTTTGGGCTGTATTCATCCTCGTGTGGTTTAACTGGTTTACTACTATTTAATTTTACAGGAATTCTATCTGATTCACTAGTCTCAGTCATTTCATCTACACTCTTCTCATGCATCAACGTGTCTTCAGCCTCGTTAGAATGAATCTGATGAGGCTTTTGCTTTGTTTGACTTTTAACAGATTTTTTATATTTTAAATTCTTGAATAGTTTCGAGTAATTATTTTGACGAGACGACTGACTATTATCGTCTTTATCATCAGTGTCAGAAGAGGGTTTACGCATCAATTTACCTTTGCGTTTATGTTTAGTTACTTTAGACTGAGGTGATTCTTTAGCAGAAGCAGTTGGTGAATATTGATTCTGTGAATTCTTCTTCGATTGCTGATTCATTTCTTTCGGTGAATCTTTTTTAGGCAGTCTGTTCACTGTGATGGATTCAGTTAGTTTTATTCTTGAGGTGGATTGTTTTTTCCTCTCGTAATTATTATTTTCATCATCAGTAGTGTCATTTGACAGGTTTTTAGACATTTTCGAGTAACTTGACTTGGTCTTCGGTACATTCACATTTAATACAATAGGTATATGATCAGAATTACAATTTCTAATTAATTGTTTAATAAATTTCATTGGATAATTCTGCCTATCTGATTGCTTATTACCACTGCTAGTACTGACTAGGCGTAAATTAATGTGAGCATTTTTATTTCTAATTGATTTAGTATAACTATTATTGCTGTGATTACCGCTGTCATTACTTGTTACACTGTTTGGGCTGCTATTATCACTGCCATTCATGGATAAAGTGTTACCATTACTACGTATACTACTATTACTTCCACTACTAATACTAGTGCTTTTCTTATGATATGCATTGTTATGTCTTTCTTGATATCCACAGCATTTCTGATGTTGGTCATTGAAGTGAGAATTAGAATACTGACAGTTACAACAGTTATGATGATAACAGTGGCAGTTGTGCGCTTGTTCATTTATCGAATTCATTGGAATGCTTTGATTTATTGACGCTGTAAAATTACACTGTCGTTGACTTGGAAGACAACAGAATGAATGTGGATTATATTCACATTCTTTTGTAAATAATCCCCGTATGCGTGTTGTGTTATGCTTATAGTTAGCAGATGGTATTAGTGATCGATAGTTGTTGAAGGCATTCTCCTGTCTCCCTTCTTCGTCTTCTTTTTCTGGTTGCATTCTACTCGACTTAAAGTAGGATCGTCTTCTTCCAATTTGATTTCTTTGTCTTGCAGAAGAGGTTATTAAAAATGGTTTCACAGGATTCTGTTCTACTCTTTCTGATTGTAATATCTGAGTTGAATCATTATTATTGAATACAGGAAGTGAAAAACATTTGAAGGTTGTATTACACTGACGTTTTGTGACATTTTTATTCGCATAATGATGATATATAGGTCGACTGTTTACTAAATGGTGATGATTATAGTTGGTTTGACACAACACTGGATGATACATAGAACAATTAGAATTATTTGTGTCCAACACTCCTCCCTCCATAACAATTAGATCATCATCATCATCATTATTATTACTGTTACTACAGTTTGTATGGCTGTCATTGTTATCCTCAAGAAAATTCTGATTTGTTGACGTTGGTTCATTTGATGATGACTTTGTAGCAGATGAAAGTAATTCACCGATTGTTTTGACTGGATTATTTGATCCTTCTGGACATATTGTTATGTCTGTTGGAATGGTGATATTAGTCAATGGTTGATTAGTTTGAAAGACAATCGCTTGTACTGGGGATTGTTTACCAGAATTGCTTTCTGGTGTTAAATTTGTTGTCACCATAACACCTTGTTGACGAACAGGTTTATTCATGTCTAAAAGAGAGAAAAGTAAATTTTTATCCACAAAACAAAACTAAGATTTGAATATTGTGGTACAAATAAATTTGAATTTTTTTTTCGTTGATTGGTTTTGTGAATCTGGGGATTTCACTGACATAGTTCTCAGTATACATGGCTACGATTCCTCCACTTTTATTGATCTGTTCTCTCAGGAACTATGCCATTCTTTCGAAGAATATGTACAATAAGTCACTCAGAAAGAATGCAACAAGACTAAAGCAGATCTGCTCAAAAATTGAAAGCGTACGATTAATATCGAATCTCCATTCCCAAGCAATCCACAAAAGTATGTATTCAATCTCTCAAACACCACACTGCCTACTAATCAACTAGAAGTATAAAATTCTGCTTAAAACCACCTAGTACTGACAAGCTACAGTGCCAGGTTCAGTTCAAAAATCTGATAAACCAAACTCACGGTCTCACACCTGCATCAGATGAAAACCTACAACAATTCAAAGCATCAATCCTCAACTGTTGTCACAAGTTTATAAATACCAAACCCAACGGAAGGTCCATTTTAACGAAGAGACATGATAAGGAGCAGAAAGAACTTATGAAATCGAAGAGACTATGGTATTACGTCCCGATAATGGAGGACGAATCTTAATCATGAATCGTGAGGACTATATCAGTAGAGGCCTGACTATACTATCCGATGAATGCAAATAAATTCAAATTTTGGCGGAAAGATTAAAACAACGTTTTCAACTTTTTACAAGTATCAGTATCGTTTTATAAATTTGTTGTAAATAGATGACAGTATGATACATTTGGCTAAGTTATTTGAAAACATAGAACTGGACACGGATGGCCTAGGCTATCAGAATACTCCGCCATTACATTCAATATAATTTCTCTAGGTTAGTTTTGTTTTAATCTATTAAAATGTGACCTTAAGTGTTATTTTCATTCTCGCGAGTATTTAAAATGTTTACAATCTACTGTTTCATAAGTTTAGCGGAAACTCGAGATAAAAAAGCAAACTCCTAGGTGATGGTAACGTATCCCATTACATGAGACCACCGTTCCTGAGATTTGCAGTACAGAATGTCACTTATTACCTGAGGAATAAAACTAATTACCTACTATCTTCATTTAATCAACTATTATATGGACTTTTCTCGATTGACTTTGAAGCAAATGTTAAGCATTTCTTTAAGAAAGGAGACAAAGAAGAAATATCACATGAGGGATTGGTTTTCGTTTTAGGTGTGTCACACGATTTATTGTCAGTTACTATTTTGCTTGAATATCATGGACAAAGAGACAAACTGCATTATGTAATAATTTCTATTGAAAACTCTACAGATTATACAAATGATTCCAGGAAATTGATAACATCTACGGTCTGGAAACTTATAATCTTTTACAAATACTATTCAGGATAAAGCTGTTATTATTACTATTAGTTAATAAAGCAGAATCTGGACACATTTAGCTACCTATCGATTAGTTTATGAAATATCTCATATAGCCAAACAGTACTGAAGTATACTTATTCAAGGTCATACATACATTATTCACGCTTGTTCTTCTGTTTGACTAGATAAAGTTTGTCGGACTAAATAACGCACTATGACACTGTGACACAGTACACTTAATATTTGCCCTACTGAGTCTACTAACTCTCAAAACTGAGACATATTAACAAACTCAATAAGACAGACTAAATCATGTCTTCATTCAAAGCTCATGGGTTAATAAACTCTTCTATTACATAAAGATAATTCTTCAACTTCACTAACGAAAATGATGAAAGAAAAAGATTGCCGGAATAACAGAATAAAAACTACAAAGCTACAAAATCTTACAATCAGACTCATGTCTTTTTTTGCAGAAATTTTGCGACAGATAAATGGTAGTATTGTGGTGAGAGCTGTCTGCAAGCCAAAAATTGTAGACAACAATTTGCGTCAATATTTACGTCCGGAATCGGGGTAATGAGAAAAAACAAAACAATAACAAAGCTTAACCTTGAGGAACTCAACAACCAATCACAGCAGACTTAACGTGGGCAAATAGGATTGGCAGATATATGGCTTAACTTCTGAGAAACGATCACGGACAAAACAGAATGACCTTCAGCAAGAAAACAACCAATCAGAAGATGTTGCTTCTCCGCTGACAATAATGTACGTAAAAATCTATAAACACCTCTTGATTTTCTCAATAAACAATCTGTTGCCTGGCCTTTGTCTTCTGTCGTTATAATATTACCAGTAATTTTAATACATCTTTATATAGGTCATAGTTTCTAGACATTTATGGAATTAAAAATTCTGTTTCAAGATACTGATAAAGTAAATTTACTCTTAGTTAGGCATAAATTCTCGTGAAAATCTAATTTGTAATAATTGGAGAAGTTTTTTTTATCTCAAATGGATATTTGTTTTTTTAATCTATTCTTCTTTTTGCGCCCCTCCTTTAATCCTTCCTAGAATACTGAATAAAGAGTTTGTTACACAGCGAAGGACACTAAAGGCTGTCAGTAGGGTGAGTGAAGTGTCACTAGACTAACCTGTTAATACTCTTACAGACAGATACTTGAACTCAAGCAAGAAATTAGCAACTGTCTCCTTGAATCTATCTCATCAGGTGGAACTAGAAACAATTATAGAAGGTATTATGTTCGGACGATTATTACCTAAACTTAACAGTCCCTTATTTGGCTGGCATCCATTTTATGTGATGAGAAAAGTGTAAGGCAGGACACCACCAACTTACTGCGTAGCACTAAGTAAGCGGCCGTCCTTTTTCATTTTTCACTTAATTCAATTTCTATATTCATACTCATATTGAACAACACTGTCGATGAGAATGTCAATGTTTTAATTATTATCACTAATTAATTTAAATTATTATCAATACAACAGCTTCTGCCCTATAAGCTATAAGCGGGGATTAGTAAGAACACTGTACAACAGAGCCAGGAAGCTATGTTCACCGAACAAGGTCGAAGAAGAATTAGGTCTCACTGAGAAATGTCTGAGAGAAAATGGATACCCTAAGGGATTTATACGAGAGTATAGCAGAGAAAAAGATAAGAAAGAAAAGCATCCAACTGTTGAGAAGAAAAAAGTGTTTATTTGTCTCCCATTCAAAGGAGATGCAGTGTCACAAAAGATTGACAAAAGACTGAAAGATGCAATAAAAAGAAGCTTCCCTGCAGTTAAACTCATAACTTTACACAGTACTACTTATTCTACAAGCCACTCACACCTGGACAAATACACCGATGATGTCATCTCCACCTGCGTTTATTAATTTACTTGCGCTTACGGAAGCAAGTATATTGGAAGGACGCAAAGAAGGGCTTCTATCCGATTTTTTGAACATATTCCAAGAAACTTGTGCCTGAAAGGAAGTAAATATTCTCAGAGTGCAGTTTTTAGACATGTTGTTGATACTGGTCATCTCGTAGAGATTTCCAAGTCCTTCAAAATATCAAATACACAAAGGGTGGGGTTAGAGAATAATACAGTTGAAAATAAGTAAGTTAATCGGGTGACGTAAAATAGTTGACTAGAAATTGGACGTGGGTCAAGTTAGCAACATTGTTAATGAGGGTAAAAATTACAAAAGGATGGGGTAGAGAATAATATAAATGAAGATGTGAAATAATAAAATGATAAAATAAAATGAAAAAGACAAAATAATACAATTAGTAAGACTGAAATTAAGAAAGATTACGTCCATTGTAGATTTAATGAATGAACGAATTTCTTTTGTATGCAGAGTTCAGGATTTAGCCGATGAATTGCCATTGCTTCTGCGATGTGGAGAAGTTTGATCCGTACACTTTTAGCAAGATTGCCTTGTATTCTGTAGATAACTTAATCAATTCTATTTTATTTTCTATCTTAACGTTTGTCTCCAAGCCAAATAATACTTACATTACATAATTATCTAAACTTTATAAATACACAAAGGACAGCAGATTTACTACGATTTTCCGAAGTGATCGCAATCAAACGATTCAAATCAGACTTATGCATACAGAGAGAGAGAGTGTGTGTGTGTGTGATTAATCTTCCACTCACTTGGTTACTGAATTTTGATTACATTAATTAGCCATCTAATTTTGTGATCTCAACTCACTGACCAAGTCTCAATCTCATAAACTGTAACCACTTTTGTTTCTTCAGTTGATATGTGAACCTACAAGGTAACACTGTTTTGTTAAATAATTTTTCCCGTTTTCTGTCTTACTCCTCCACCCTCTTTTCTACTTTGAAAGCGTATAAATTGATGATGAAAAGGATTTCATCATGAGCTGACATTAGTTAGAGAACCATTGGAATACTTGGGAGTACTGAACAGCTGTTTCGTCCTAGTTTGGGACTCTTCAGTAGTACGCACCCAGTAGGGTGCAGCTGGTCGGGTGTGAGGACAAATACTCGCCGAAGACATTGGCTAGCGGTCGCGCTATGTCGTGAATTGGCAGAAGTTAGAATTCAAGGACCATTGGATCGGGTCCCAGTGGCTTAATGGTATACGAGCTCGCCTTGTAACCGGAAGGTCCTGGGTTCGAATCCCGGTGGGTGCGTACTGCTGAAGAGTCCCAAACTAGGACGAAACAGCTGTCCAGTACTCCCAAGTATTCCAATGGTTCTCTAACTAATGTCAGCTCATGATGAAATCCTGAAATCAATCAAATCCCTACAAGCCAACACTTGATGATGAAAAATTAAACTAAAAATTGTAGTAACAGGATTTTTATCACGAGCTGACATTGGTTAGAGAACCATTGGAATACTTGGGAGTACTGGACAGCTTTTCCCTCCTAGTCTGGGACTCTTCAGTAGTACGCACCCACCGGGATTCGCACCCAGGACATTCTGGTTACAAGGCGAGCTCGTATACCATTAAACCACTGGGACCCAATCCAAAGGTCCTTGAATTCTAACTTCTGCCAATTCACGACATAGCGCGACCGCTAGCCAATGTCTTCGGCGAGTATTTGTCCTCAC